TCCTGCGCAGGTGTCCCGGGAATGATTCGGGAGCGCTTGCTGGCAGGAGTTGGTTCAGGCGAAGCTTGCTCGCACAATAAAAATAGTCGCTCTGAGCCAAAACCCCCAAATACTCGAACTCACAACCCTGGATACCCTGACCATGATCACCGTCTGGACCCTCAGCTTTAAGTGCCGACTGAACTTCAACTCAACTCCAGAAGCCCAACCACCGAAACCCTAATCCGTGAATAATCATAAAAATAGAAACCCTCAAGGCCCTGAGCCCAGAACCCTAAACTTTGTAGTATATGGTAACCCTATGTATGAAAATTCAAGTGCTCTATCCCCCCAACCGATTGAAATGACATCCTCAAACCCGAACCCATGACCCTGCCCTGCAACTGCCCTGGATCTCGACTCGTGACGGTAATACTACTCATAATGCGATCTTTAACTAATTACAAGCCCAAGCCCAACGCAAGGAATGGAGTGCATCGTCTGCGCAAGAGCTGGCCGACTGCGTGGCCATAGATCCTCGGATTATAAATTGTAGGAATCATGGGTTTCGTATACCCTCCAACGTCACGTGGTACTGGGTATAGCTAGCGTTTATAAAATGGTCCCAAGCACCGATACGGTTGACGATTTTTCGGGGAGAGTTCTCATAAGGAAGTCGCAACTATATATATATATATATATATATGTATATATGGAGACAGATAAATGAAATTACCTTCCCGAATCCTATTAGATCTACAGGGCTCTGGGTTCAAAAACACGTAACCATTCGTGTCGGCTTTAAATGCACAGGGTCGAAACTTGGGATTTCCAATCAAAGATTCGTGCTTCTGGGTCCAACGAGCTCTTTAAAGATCTTGATTGGTGTCTAGTTGGCATGTTATATAACTATCGGGGAAGTACTGATAGAATTCCTTCGTCGAATAGTCATTTCTGACCATCTAATTTAAATCCCATTCAAGCCACGGCGATAATATTAATTAAACCCTGAAGCCAAACCTTTCCCCCTCAGACACCAAACAAGATCCCTTGTCCGGAAACCCGATGAGCCCTTAAACATCCCTAGCCGGTGCCACAGGAGCTTGGCTCAGCGACGCCGGCGTCTGTAGAGAACTTGGCTGCATGTGGCGCGAGGGGTGCACACATAAACAATGTCTGGCGAGATCTTCGCAGCCAATGCAACACGACATCGAAGAACATAGCGGTTCCTTGTCGAATTATTGATTCCCGCTGTGAGCTTTCTCCTATCGGCCACAACATATTTCCCTTAAGCTATGCATGTTGAACTATGATGAGGATCTGCCGCTGGACAGCATCAAGCTCAAGGTGCGAGCACGTCCCGATCCCAAAACAAGGTCTGACGAGACAACTGAGATGAGTTTTCCAATCCTGGCGCCACACTTGTTGACACACCACTTGCTTCAGAGCGGAAAGATTAACATCGACCGAGCTGCTGCAGAGCGCTTCTGGCTGCACTGGAAGCAGGTAAAGGCGCCTTTTATGGAAGGCTTCGATTCAACGGATTTTGTACCACTGGCCATGTACGGTGATGAGGCAGAGTATACAATAACGAAGGAGAAGATCTTGGTATTCTACATCAGTAACTTTGCAAGACGGTTTTGTTGGTGATCACTTCGGTGCTGTTATCCCCGAACTTCTTACAATTCAGCTTGAACGGTTTGGGTTTTGGGATTTAAGGTTTATAGCGCTTCGGGTTTAGGGTTATTATTATTATAATGGTGCCAGCAGGTCTGGGATCTGGGTTTAGGTGTTCAGGGGTGTGAGGTTTATGCTTATTATACAGAGGCATAGAATCGACTGGCAAAGTTTTCAAGGTGACGTTATATAAATATGGCAGGTTATCCAGTTTTCGAAGGCTCCAAGACTGTATTTGGAAGTCGGTTTCCAGTGTTCGCCATCAGATCTGAGCGTTTGTTTGGATACGACACGATCTGGCCAGTGTTTGATTTCTTAACTTGGAGCATGAACACGATGTATTCGGGAACTTTCCCTGCAAAGAACCTGGCTGGTGATGATTTGTGCAGCTTGGGCCCAAACATGAGGCCAAACGACCCAATGTACGACGGTTACAAATTTCGATTAGTTGAACTTCGCGGCGATTGGAAACACCATGCCCACTGCTTCAAGTTGGTAAACCACTGGTCGTGCAACGACCTATGTCACTGCTGCAAGGCGTCGAAGACAAATCGGCTTTATCCGTACACTGACTTTACACGTCAGCCACTGTGGCTGTCTTCAATAAGGACCCATGCTGAGTTTTTAGCAGGACAACTTAATGAACCGATCAATTCACTGATCTACACGGCGAGGTTTGACTATAGGTTTATTCGCTTTTGCTCGGTCCACACGATACAGCTGGGGATCGCTCAGTTTTGTCATGGCGGCTGTTTTTTCGAGCTGTTCAAGGTTGGGTGGTTTGCTGGAGATGACAAGGCTTCGAAGATGAGACATGGTTTCATTCGTTTCAAAGAGTTTATCCGGAAACACAAGATTGAGTGTTCACAGCCCCCGTTCAAAAGCTATATGTACGTCACTGCGGGGGAGGAGTACTGTTACTTTGGAAGCAAAGCATCCTGGCATCAAGATGGTTCATGATGAGTTCTTGTGCTCAGTTCTAGATTCCTTCTCGAGCTATTACTAACTACCATATGGCCCTTTATTCTACTTCCCATTATAACCCATAGTGGCCGTAATGTGTTCGGTGACATGAGGCATACAACTCCCGAGTGATCACAAGCTGGCTGGCGGACGAATGCTGCAAGGCCTATGAGCAACACCCGACGGAGCGCATGCTTTTGACATACACGTGTGTGCATGCCTTGCATGCTTGGCACTGCGACCTGGAGCAGTGTGGCCGCTACCTCACCCAACCGGAGTCTTGGCTACGTGCGTAGTCAATCGTGCAGCTATTTTAGTGTGAATTTCTTTCTGCAATGTGCACTATAAAGTATTACCCTTCCCATTCCATGTTTCCAGGAAGCCGATGGCTTGTACGACTTGGCTCTGACCCACCTGCAATCCTACTTGCATTTGGCAAAGCTAGCGGGGGAAAACCGGGAGAAGCCCAGCTGAACTGGTACCATTTTCGCAGGACTATGTTAAAGTTTATGGCTCATTAAAACGCATCCCAAGTCATCTGCCTCAGGATGGCGTGGATGCTTCGCCCCAAACATCATATATTTCACCACTTATCAGTGTTTATGTGTGAAGAGCGATACAACGTTCGCTTTTACCACACATATAGAGACGAGGCTGCGATGCAAGTCGCAAAACGTTTCTTGGCCTCCATCTATATGTACACCCGAACAATCCTTAAATCCGTTAACGTTGGGCCCCACGACTCAAAAGATTCCGCTATATAGATGTTTATGTATGTATACATATATACGCACACTGTATATATATATATATATATATGTTTTAATCATACATAACTGTAAACCCCAGAATAATCAATGACGGAAAACGAGCACTACCCAAGGCATCGCACGTCAGTGCCAACCTGATTGCCTGGAAGAAGCCTGGATTGGCAAATGGTACATGATGTGCCCTGGCCGAAACATAAGACATATCATAGCATCCCAGCCCTAATATAACCCATAATATTTGCCATAATATTTTTTTCGAACACCCAAGGTTGCAACACGATTATTCGGCCCTCAAAGCCAAGCGGATCTGGAGACCGAACCAATTCAAGAGCCTTAAAGGCAAGCGTCGCAAGATTCGATGAGTCAATGCGCGGGGCCAGCTGTCGCATGCGCAGTGTCGCAGAAGCCGACATTGCCCCATAGATTCGATCCCTAGATCTGCATAACCCCTTATGCTAGGTATAACCTGCATCCCTAAGCCTCGTATAGTCCTAAGTCCGAAGGATCGATATCCGATAGCTGCTCAACTGATCCAGATTGCAAGCTGTGTGCCACCGATTCAAAAGCCAAACATGCAAAGAGCCCTGCCCAAGCCCGGTCCCACACCCTAACGCCTGGAACCCTGAACCTTAGCTTTACCTGGTTAACCCTGAAACCCTACGCTCTGAAACCCTATGCTCTGAAACCCTGAACCAAACCCGGAACCAAAAAACAGTTTAGGGAGTTCAGGGCTTAAGCTTCGGGGCGTTCGTGGTGAGTTGTTGAGCCAGATTCAAAGTCTGGGTCTCCAATTAATAATTATAAACTTGGCATGACGAACCCGGACTTCAGATTTGTGGCTTCGGAAGGTTTGGATTTTCGAATATTTGAAGGATTACAACTCCGGACCCAAATTATGCCCTGATCGTATCATTCGAGCTGAGGAATTCCTCATCCTGCATGCACATATAGAAAAACACGCACATGTACGCACACACACACACACACACTCACATTAGTTATAATAACGACCCTACACCTTCAACTCTCGAGACCCTACAACACCTCAAACCCTAAACACCTTACATTTGCTTTGGCTCAAAACTGTTTGGCTCAATATCGCTTTATAATGAGAAGCGAATCACCTAATTGATTGCCGGGCCGGTGGTTCGCTATGCTTGGGCCTTGCAACTCGTTGCCGGCTGTCAGAAACATCAACATTAACGGCTCAAACCCAATTTTTTTGGCTCAATCGCATATTATTTGGTTCAAAGCCGGGTCGCTTACCCAGCTTGTTTGGTTCAATCGCTTGTTTTTGGATCAATGGTGGATCGTTTGGTCTGCCGGGCTGGTGGTTCGCTATGTTTAGGGCTTGCAACCAATTGCCATGTGTGTCCCGGCAAGACTCAGAGAATTATCAAAAAGTCAAAGTCCTAATAATTTTGAGCCTTTGGGCCGAGTCCTATTATTTTGAGCACTGTGCCAAGTCCATGATATACGAGGTCTCGGATCCCCAGGGTTTGGAACCTGGACTTGATGAATGCCACCCCAATCTCTAATCCCTGAACCCTAAATCCTAATCACTAAACCGTAACTCCTAGACCCTAAACCCCTTAACTGCAGCCCGGCTACGGAGATCTTGCTTCACCGTTTCCATGGTTTGCTTTGTCACCTCAAAAAATCTCGAGAAGACTTGGTTGCAGGGTTTAGGGTCTTTAGCGGCTTTATTTAGGGTTTAGGGGATAATGGGTTCAGGTGTTAGGGTTTAGGGGTTTCAGGGTTTAGGAGAAGAAGTGGTTTAAGCCTCCGTATGTGCCGTATCACCTGTACAAGCTTGTATAAGTAACGACCTTTCCGTCTCATGTGTGTATATAGAAAGAAGGAGAGGGTTTAGGGTCTTGAGCTTTACCAAATGGTCCCAGAATTTTGGGGCTGAGGGCTTACTGCAGGCTTTACTCGGCTGTCAGGATCAACACGTACTTATAGGGCTATTATAGGGCTTCGAGTCTTCAGGGCTTCGAGATGTGTTGTGGGGTGTGGGGGCTTACTAAAGATGGTAGGGGCGCAAAATTGCAATCAGGGTTTAGGGCCTTATGTGTTCGCCAACGCCGGCAGCTGAGACGTTTGACAGGAGTGCTTCCGTAGTGTTGTTGCCAGCATGTCATCCATACGACTACTGCAAATTCTTCGGCTAGTGTATCGGTTGCGCATTAGGCCACTGAAAGTAGCTCTATTTTTGCTGCACCCGCAACAGATTCGCTCCATTTCGCTCCGAATACCTAGACCCTGGATGGATTTTATGCAGACCACGCCCCACCGCTTTGTTCAAGGACCTTTGAGTTATTAGTTTTCGGGCTTAGGGTTTAGAGGGTTTATAGAAAGGTTTTGGGTTTAGAAACTCGATACCACCTACTCCGAAAGACTGACCTACAGAACCCTAAAAAACCCTAAACCCAAAAACCCTAAACCCTAAACCTTAAACCCCATGCTGCTACCCGAAACCGGTGGATCCTGCTCTTGGCTGCGACTTGGAGTCTTATAGGTTTAGGGTTTAGGGTTTAAGGGTTTAGGGTTTAGGGTACAAGTAAACCCAACCGAATCCTTTCAACCCTTAAATAGGCACCCTAAGATTTCGTGGAGAGATTTGTCGTGGTTTGTATATACGATGAGTGTAATAGGAACAGTCAGGAATGGTAGTACTAATGATTCAGGCCCGTACATTAGCCCCTCGGACCTAGTTCCAGGGTCCTGGGCCCACTATGATAGCATAGGTATTTAGGCCGTTATAGTACATTAGCCCCTCGGATCTAGTTTCGGGTCTTGGGGGTCAGACCCCCGAGCCATCCGCCTGGTGTCTGAGGTGCTGCTCTTCAAGAGGGTCCTCCACCTCGTCCTGATGCAGGATCTGAAGGTTTAGGGGTTCAAGGCTTAGGATCCAGGGTCTAGGGCTCAGGGGTAAGCGAAAGAGGGTGCTGGCGTTGGGGGGCGAGCAGATGCAATTTCGGAACACAGGACTTCCTTGCAAACAGAGGCATCAGAGTTGTGCCGATCATGGTCACCCGGATCACAAAGCAGGGGCTGGGAAAACCCAAAACCCTGAAGGCCAAGGTCGCAGGGAAACAACAACGAAACAATACCGGAAATAGTAATGGTAGTACTGAAGACAACGGCAATAGCAGAATGACTAGCAATACTCGGAACAAAAGTATTCATACTAATACTAATAGCAAAAATAACACTAGGAACACACCTTTGCATGCTAATACATCTACCAAGAATAACCAAAATACAAAAATAGTAGTAATATCATCATAAGCAGAATCACAATACTGATCCTGTAGTGATAAGAACAACCACAATAATAACAATGCGAATGATAATCACAATAAAAATACTGACAACCATAACAACAACATAGAAATAGATACAATACTACGGTTTGCAGTCGAAAAAACCCTAAGCCCCACCGACGACAGCCAAAGTGTCCCAAACAGGTTTGGGGTTCAGGGTTAAGGGATCAGGGTTTAGACGCACAGGTTTACTCAATTTGTTCATTTCGGCTTCCATTCTGTTGCAGGTAACATGAACCTGCAACTAACAATCACCAGCTTCCTAAAGCGTGAAACTCTCATAACCTTTGCAACTGGCTTGCAACGTCACGCCAGGACAGCTGACTCGCGCCGGGCTGTACTCGTGACAGCAACTCTTACAACCCTCGAACCTATCATAACCCTAAACCCTCAAGTGCTTCACCCTACTAAAGCCCTATAAACTCTCGTAACATCTCAAAACCCCAACCCTCAAAGAGCTACAAGCTCTCAAAACCTACCTAAGCCCTAAACCCAAGGTTCAAGTCCAAGTATACGGCCTCTTCATTGAGCAGCTCGGCTTCGATGTCGACCTAGCTATCGTCAGGGCATCTAAAACCTAGAAATCAGACTACGGGTTCCTTCAAAAGGGTTCTATGAAGGACTGTAGGGGGACACGGTTTAGGGTTTAGGGGGACCTCACCCATAAGAACAGGGTTCCGATTTAGGATTTAACCCTGCACTTACGGTAGGGAACGTTCATGGAGAGGGTCCCGTAGAAGGGGTCGATAACGGCTCCGCTAAGGCATGCCAGAAGGGATTTCACAAAGGTTTTGGTACGGGATCCTGAGTATTTAAACCACAGGGTTTGGGGCATCATATGAGATTAATTAACTGTACTTGTATTCGGGACTAAAAGGAAACATTGTCAGACTGCGGTTTTGGGTTATTCTGTCGAATGAGAACAGTATCGAAATAGGCTTTTGGGCCAGCATATAGTGTCTACAGTAGAAGCCCAAAAGTTGGAAACCCCATAGCCTCGATCCTCAAGAGTAATGTATAAGGAATCCCAGCACCATTTGGCCTTAATCCGGTTTCCAACTTTATGGGGTAAAGGAACCCTACAATCCCCTGTATAAACCCTAAACCCGAATCCCCTAAACCCCTCATCCCTTAAAGGAACACCGGCCTCCGGTTTACTGTAGGTTTCAAGTCCTTGCACCCCAAGCGCCGAAGAAGAATGAGGCTACGCACACAAACCTGGGGGAGGGCAGTAGTCTAAACCAGGAGTTACCAAAGGGTCCAAAGTACCAATATAGGGTTCCTTTAAGGGTTTAGGGTTTAGGATTTGGTTAAGGGTTCCTAAGTACCTGTATAGTAGAATGTAGGGTTTCTATATTAGGAATTACTATTATGATTTCGGGAAGTATCTCCCATAACAGCACCTAGGACCCTTTGGGTTGGGATTAGGGTAGCCCTTCAAAATATAGACCCTCTGCATAAGGTCCCTTTTCAGAGAGACAAAAGTAGGTTTACGAAGGGTCCCCTTCAAGGGATCTCCCTAATACTACCTAATTAAGATAAACACCTTAAGAAACAGCACAAGCTCGCAATCAAATAATCAGGCCTCTATATTCGACAATCAAGTGTTTAGGGCTCTCAGAACAACTGGATGTGTTGAATCCCTTGCAGCTGCGAGCGATTCACTGCAGCACCGCTGCCGGGAAGAGCCCCGGACAAAAGAATTCAGCTCACCCATACAGCGGAAAATGTATGTGCAAAGAAGCCGAGTTTGCTATATGGTAGGTGACAGTCCTACAAACTCGGGAACTACGCCAGTGCCCGGAATCCCGAAGTGGATTTATGGCGCAGGGCTTCTCTTCTAGCGGCTGAAGTTTGGGGCTTAGGGCTTGAGTCCTTCGTGGCACGTATCGACGCAAACTATAGGTACAAAGAAGCTACAAATCCCCATCCATAGTATTGAAACAGGCAAGGAAAGGACAGAACCCGCCGCGCAGAGTGGCATCGATCTTGTTCCGCACCAAGAAGTGTGGCACGCCGTAGGCCTGCTGCGATGCACGAGGTGAATCACCACAATCCCTAAGGGTCCATGTACCCAAATAGTATATACTGTGGGCCCAATGTACCCATATTGGGAGTCCTTTAAGGCCTAGTTAGGTGCATGGACCCTTGGGGAATAGTGTGCCCGAGAATATAATATACGTATAATAAGGAACCCCCGACATAGTATCGGTGGTTATTTCGGCCCCGATGTTACATGACGAAGTCTGCACGATTAGCGGCAGTTGTGTCGCTAAAACAAGTAAATTAACGCTGGTGCTGGGCAAGTTGCACTGCTGACAGCAATCCCGAACATTGATGATTATGATGATATGTGGATGATGCGGGTGCTAATGGTGATGGTGATGATGATATGTGCATGATGTGGGTGCTGATGATGATGTTGATGATGTTGATGATGATGATGGTGCTTACTTTCTGCTCGCCCTGCAACTAGTCGCCGGCTGCGCCAGGTTGCGAGGCTGGGCTCGAGAATGAGGCCGTTCCGAAAGCCCCACGGAAGCCGAAGCCCTCTAGCCCCAAACCCTAAATGCCAAACTAAATCCTGAACCCTAAAGCCCCAGACTTCCCCAACAACCCAGACTCTAATCCCTTTTGTATCCAAAACCCTAAGCTCCTAAACCCCAAGCCCCCAAAACTCTTTTGCGGAAGGCGTCTCTCGCCCGGAACAGTTGCAAAACTCTAAACCCCTGAACCCAAAGAACCGAAAACTTGGCTGACTTCTGAACCCCTCCTAATAGTTAAACTTTTACCCCCCTTATTGTAGTCCATATAGAAACCCAAAAAGTTAAAGTCCTCAGAGCCAACCAGGAGAACGCCCAGTAGTATACCCTAAATACCAGGACCCCAAAAGTACCCTCTTATAGTTAGAGCCCCTATGGCCTTTAATAGAGCCTAAACCCTGAATCCTAAACCCTTAATCCTAAACCCTAAACCCTAAATCCTCTCTCTCTCTCTCACGGACTCAGTTTCCTGTCAGCCGCGACGCGGAAGATAAACCCTAAACCCTAAACCCCAAAACCCTAAACCCTAAACCCTAAATCCCAAACCCTAAACCCTAAACCCTAAACCCTAAAACCCTAAACCCCAAAACCCCAAAACCCTAAACCCTAAACCCTAAACCCTAAACCCCAAAAACCCAAAACCCCTGAACGGATGCCTTGAGCTCCGCCACGAGCCGCAGCTCCGATTCGGTGAGCCGCGAGGCGGTAATCCTTACTTGAAGGATCATGGGACTTAGTAAGTAAGGCCTAGGGTTCCTTAAAGGGCTCCTTCAAGGGATCTATAAGGGTTACTATAAAGATTCTATGAGGGTTTTGGGGGTACTTGAAGGATCATGGGACTTAGTAAGTAGGTTATAACAACCCTAAGTGGGGTTATCCTAATCATAACCGAATTATAACCTTGCTTACTAAGTCCCATGAGCCTTTAAGTAGTCCCGATTGCCTTTATAGGGGCTTAGGGGTTAGGGTTTAGGAGTCTTAGGGGCTTAGGGGTTTGGGGATTTAGGGTATTAGGGTTTAGTAAAGAGGGCTTGGGCTTCGGCTCTTTTTCTTGGATTTGCTGCTCCAGAACCAGGATGCCTCAAGTCACCCCTGTAAACCTAAACCGAAACCTAAAAGGAAGCAAGGCCTGTGGCCTCGTCTTTTTCACAGGGTTGCGCGGCCCGAGGTCTGATTTTAGTTCATCAGTAGTGGAAAACTAGTCTAACTTCAACTCCGAACGCGAAACCAAAAGTCTAAGCACGAGACCCCCAACCGAACCGCCTGAGGTTTCCTTGTGGCTTTCACTGGCTACCCCAATAAGCCACAGAAATGAAAGGAGAAAATTTCCGATTCCTACTGATTAAACTACAAGAGCCCAACAGATTTAAAGGTTTGGTATTTAGGGCCCCCAAAAGGCACATAACCAAAAATTAGGATAGGGATATCCCATATACATCCCCTTATAATGAAGCCCAGTAAGGTAGGGATATCCCCGTACAATGCTTATGCTTATGTGCTTTTTTTGGGTCCCTAAGTATTGGGGATCTAAGTTCAGGTGCCAAAGTCCTCAAATTTCAGCTCCAACCTCCAAAGGATCCAATAATAAGGTACTCTGGTTACGGAAAGTAGCTATGTAGGTTCATGTTTGGAAGAGTATATGATTATTATGTACTTGGACCCTTAGGGCAATAGTCGGATAGCTCAGGGCTTCGACAAGGGTCAGCAGCACAAGGTCGAAATATCGAATCCCCATGCTCTTCAAGTAGGAAGCCTCCGACGGTTTAGGGTTTAGGGTTTAGGATTTAGGGTTTAGGGATTTAATGATCAGGGTTTGGGGTTTAGGGTTTAAGAATTACCTATAGTCTCCATTGTGGTTCCTTGTTGGGGTCACTGTAAAGGAAGTCCTTGGGCTGAACCTATCGGTAGAGGTAGGGCTTTTTTAGGGTCCTGGGCTCCGGCCTGGGGTGGCAAGGGCTTTTTCGGAGAGGGCGCTACCTGATAATGGACACTCTTATATTATACATCATGATGAAACATAACAGAACGTGAAGGAACAACTTTTGATGTACTACCTCATAATATCAATGGATAGTGATAAAACATGATAGCGCCCTTGTCCATAAAAGCCTATTCTGTTGGAGGCGTTTAGAAGAATTCCGGTACCTGAGCGTAGCGAAGTGCGAGCAGCGTGAAGTTCGGAACGGCCCTGCCAAGCCAAAAACTAAGCTCAGGGCGCCAAGGGGTGTTGTGCAGCAGCCACGGCGAGTGGTTGTCGCGGTGTTGTCAGTTGTAGTGGTAGTTGTGGAGGTAGTGTAGGTAGCGAAGGCAGTGGTGTTAGTGGTGGCAGTGGTAGAGTGGTAGTACTGGCAAAAGAGGTGGTGGTGATAGCACTGGAAGTGGTAGTTGTAGTCGTAGTCATTGTCGTCGTCGTGGCAGCAGCAGCAGCAGCAGCAGCAGCAGCAGCGTCAGCTGAACCAGGAGGCGGAAGACTAGTATATCGAGTGGTAGCACCAGTACCAGTGCTATTATGGCATTTGGAGCGGTAGTTTTAACCGTCCCTGGCAGGTGCCAGTAACAGTAAGAGAAGCACTCGTAGTCGCCGGTGGAGCAGTGGAATGAAGGGCAAGAGCAATAGTAACAAACCTTCAAGAGCGGTCGGCAGCGAGCCTAAGAGAAAAAAACAGTGTGAAGCTTACTTGCATGTGAAAAATTTCGTAAAGTTTACACCAAGTTCCCTCATTCACACCCAGTCCCAGCATATGATACCATACATGGTGGAGATCATGACACACCGTTTCTCAAGCGCAACCTCCATAAATCCTAAGCCCCAAAGACTCCCCCAAAGCACCTGTGGAAATCGGGGCGTGCCGATCCCGGGCAGGTCGCAAATGATGGCTTCTGCTTCCTGGAGATGCCAAGCTCCAATGATAGCGTTCGATTACTCTTCTTGTTGTCGCTGTATGACTTTGGATGTACTGCCTCAAGGGTTTCTGGTTTTTCGGTTCTGGGCCTCTGACTCCTAAGACCAGCATCCCAGAAGCTCGTTCGATACTCCGAGCTGGTGACACCCAGATAAAGACACATGGGTAATTGTCAAAATTACGGCTCCTTTTTGAGTATCCTGAATATTAGGGTGCGTTAGGAGGACCCAACGAAGGATCACAATTTTTGACAACCTCCCATATGCATGTTTATGTAAATACGACGTGCAAGCAAACATTTCATAGAGTACAGAACCCCTTTTCCTACCCTTATTGTCGCTACAAGTTCTTGCAATTGTCTTTATCTTGTCCTGGCATTGTGTTGCCTCGTCTCCTGCCGAATGTGCTGCTCTTCTCGATCTCGTTTCCACTGAAAGAAGAAGCAACAGCATAAGACAAGAGCAAGGTAGAGGCCGAACAGCCCTAGTGAAACCTCAAGCCCTAGGTCAGAGACCCATAACCCGAAATCCTTGACCTACAATCTCAAGCCGATTACAGCGCACTTACAGTATCCTTACAGCAACCGCATAGAAACCTCACGGTATCCTTGTAGTAGCCGTACAGCAGCCTTGCAGTATCCCTGTCAAATCTTTGGCCCTAATCTCTAAATCCCGAGCATCTACTCAGGGGCTGAGTATCCTGGCCCCAAAAAGGTTTAACCGGTTCAATCATGGTAGGGGTATATAAAACCCAAGAGGTTCAAGGTTACCTACTCAGCTGCTGACCCCCAAGCTCCCACACCCTTGCTCCTAAACCCTTGTAGATCCCTTAAAGGACCCCTTAAAGGAACCCTCAACAAAAACCCTAAACTCCCAAACCCCCACCCCTAAACCTTTACGATCCCTTAAAGGACCCCTTAATGGAAGGAATCCTGAAAACACCCCCTAAACTCCAAAACCCAGAGTTGCCTGGGTCACAAGGGATCCGAGCTCCGAGGATCTCGCTCCTCCCGGACCTCAGTGCTTGGATTCTGGTTTCAGGATTTAGGATTTCAAGGTCTAGGGTTTAGAGTTTTGGAGTGTCAGGGATTTTGTTTCAGGATGAAGGATTTGAGGCATAGGGTTTGGGAGGATTGGGGCGCCATGGTTTAGGGTTAGCATATGAATCATATGAACATAGGGATTCCTTAACATTGTGGCTTTCTGGAGTATAGGGGTTCATTGAGGCTCTTACACCACTGGTTGCCATAAGGGTGTTTAGGTTTAGGTGCCTTCGGAGCTAAGCTTGGGTCTTGGTGAATGTCGTGCTAAAGTTGTGCATTACAAAGAACCGAAACCTACTACCCCAATAAGCCACAGAAATGAAAGGTTAAACTTTCCGATTCCTACTAAACTACAAGAACCCAAAAAGCTTGTATTGGGGATCGAAGAAGAACCCAAAGGAACGGGCTGTATTTGCTCACTGGTGGTGTTTCGGCGCTCACACTCGGACAGTCCTGGTGGTGTTTAGGGTAGACGATACCAGTCAAGGCGCTCGGACTTGACTTGTACGTTCGTTTTGGAAGGCATGATTGCGTAGGGTGGTTGCTTTAGGGATGGAGTTCCGGGTACGGGCAGGTTTTTGGGTTCAGCAAGGGTTTGGGCTTGGGATTTAGGATTTAGGGCTCAGGGTTTGGGCTTGGGGGGGGTTAGGGTGTAGAGGTTCTTTAAGATTGAAGGTTTAGTTCACACTGGCTGCAGAATTTGTGTCCGACAACCTTGCATGCACACCCGAACCCATACCGTGCCCTGGGCGCATTTCCAGCTGTGTCCAAAACCCGACAGTTTACAGTGTACAGGCCTTAAGCACTAGCCAAATGCTTAACCTCGGGAGTATCTTGTCATACTGGAAAAGAGGTCATGCGAACTAATGTCCACATCAACTTACTAAGATCTCCAGAGTTCAACCGCTGCAAAAACCCTACAAACGTCTCTGAATCCCCCTAGATCCTTGTGGACGATGGGGTCCGGGAGGACGGGTACTTAAAGGATCATAGGACTTAGTAAGTGAGGTTATAAGTACCTTATTAATTGGGGTTATAAGTAGTTATTAGTATAGTTACCTTACTTATAACCCTAATTGCAAAGTCCCCTGATCCACTAAGTAAACGTGCAAGCGCGGATTTAAGGGTTGCAAAAACCTGCCAATTCCGGTGCCTCAACAATGAGAATAGGTGTGGGGCAAAACGACAGTAGTCTCAACTTCTACGACGACTAGAAGGGGATACTTCAAGTCTATCACGATTCAAGACCCCTATATAAGGCACTGACGCGTGTCAGAGCAATGTCAGCATCAGCAGGTGGCGAACCCCATGCACGGACGGCTAGAAAAGGGCCTGAACCCTAATCCTTGAACTTCCTAAAGCTGTTAATCATCCTACAACCCCAACTCCTGAAACATGGATCACATGAACTGGATTGCTACAGCTTTCAGACCTAAAACCTAGGCCCTAACATCAACTCCTGAGTTGCTGACGTCGAAATCCTACAGCCCACACTCGAGAACAAAAAGTAAATCTTCTTACCCAGAAGCCCCTGTAGCGCCCTTGAAAGAAACACACACACACACACAGATACATATATATATATATGCACACATGTATAGAACACCGCAAAGACAAGCCTGTACCGAACCCTGAAAACCGTAAACCAGACCGCCCAAGCATGAAGAGCTCACGCGGCCCAGGCTCTGTATCCTAGTCGCCATTCATACATCTCTGGAGTGAGAGTAGTCTCCTCAGTACTGGAATTTAGGGTTTCGGCGCGCACACTCGGACGATCCAGGCGAGGCATGTGGTTCGAGGTCTGAGGAGTGAGACGAATCTAAAGGGGGATTTGCAGCTGCCGGGTACAAGAGGGCTCTACCTAAGGACTAGCAACCTGCTAATTAAGAGGTACGCAGGGTTCAGGGTCAGAAATGGAGGCTTGCATCACGGTTTTGCGGATGTCTTCACTCTCAAGCGATGGAGGGAGGGATCCTTGATGAGGTATTGTAGCTGGCTGAATAACAGAAGGATATAGCGATACAATACAAGTCGTTCTGAATTAGGGTTCCAGTTTGGGTCCCCAAAATAGTACGGCACCCTTGTTAAGGCAAAGACCCTGAAACGGATATGGCTAGGCCTGGGCGAGAAAGCAACGGGATTCCGAGGGGCCTGCGCCTCGTAGCTTCCCTACGGATGAGGGCAGGGTTTCGGGTTTAAGGCTAAGGCTCACGCCTCAAAGCTGAGCATCTAGTATATCAAGTTAACTACTAAGGATATGGGGCTCTCTGGGCACCAGGCTTGCAAAGATCGGGCCCAGTAAGGAACCAAACAACCTCCCCATCTCCTCATAGGTAGCATGCTTGAAGGCCTCTTGTGGTCCCTGGAACCAAGTTGCGAAGTGTAGCTCCTTACCCTGCAACCTTGCGAACTTAATTTGAAACGGGCGTCGGTGATGCCCGTTCTTGCGGCATCTTTGTCGGAGTCCTTCAAGGAGAAAGGACGCTGCATTTCGGAGCATTATATATGGCTTCGTAGCTTAGCATTGCCATGCTCAAAGACAAAGACTGCGCAGCTTGAGACAAGGGAGTTCCAGAACGAAATGGACCTGTTTAAAATCCCCAAACCATCGGATCCTTTTTCTTCCGGACCTTCACAAGAGACCCCTAATCTTCACAAAACCCATACCACTTGTGATAATATAAAGCCTGCATTACCATAATGACCCTAGACTACGGGAATTGTGATATATTCCTTAGTAGATACTGTAATGCAGGATTTATATCATCAACCGTAGAAAAAACAATGCACGCAGGAACGGGAAAGGTTGGAAGCAGCACCAAGCAGAGCGTCCAAGGCTGATATAGAAGAGCTTGCAGGATTTAGGGTTTGGTGAAGAAGGACTACGTTTGCCTCTAGGCCGCGACAATACGGATCCCCTTTCCTTTTTGCAGAGTACAGCAACACTACAACAAAGCATTGACAAAAAAGACACAATACTGTATGCACAACGCAGAGGACACCTTGGATTCTGGCTGCCTCTATATCTGCTTTTCTTTCTGAATTACTTTCTGAATGTACTAATGCAAATGCAAAACAACGATGGAGGTGCAGCATAGAAAACAGCCTCGTGCTTTTGACCTGGCTGACAATCTGCCGCTGGAAGCTTTATTTGTGCGGCTGCAGGGCTTCATAAAGCGCTTGTAAGGGCTTTATAACGGGTTTAGGGTTCAAGGTATAGGTGGCCCCTAAACGCTAAACCCTAAACCCGTGCACTACTAGTCGTTTGTAAGCTTCGCCGTGAAGTGGCGTCTGAAGTGGCACTGCAGGAAATCCCACACTTGTCCTGAATACCCCAAAACTGAAGTTCCAAACATCAGTACTTGGAGATCATGGGACTTAGTAAGTAAGGTTATAAGTTATACGGGCTTTGTTTGGGGTTATAACAGTATTTTTAGCCTTAGTTACTGAGTCCCATGATCCGTCAAGTTGACTCCATGTGCCCAAAGGTTCTGTTGGGCTTGCAGTCGCTACTTGTAGGAGTTTGAGAACTGTGCTTCACGTTTGCACGGATGCTCGAAACGTGAAACCGCTAAAGCAAACCTCAAAGCTTGGAGTTTTAATTTTGCGTTTACAGAGGGCCCAATACGCCTAAGTTGAACAACACCTTGTCATAATGACAGTAGTGCTTAAGACAACAATTCGTGAACTCCATAATAATACAGACAGTGCCAATAAGACCAAGCAGCATAATTACAAGGATAATACTAAATCATGAGGATAATATTAAAGCATGCCAACAGCAATACTGACCCCAATGAACAGCAGCCCTTGGGCTGTCTGAGTTCAGGGCTGGCAGGTGGTGTAAGCTTTAGGGTTCAAGGTTGAGGGTCTAGGGAGGTCTCTTTCCCTCCTACTTGGCAAGGACGAAGCCTTTTCGAGTTGAAGGTTTAAGGGTTTAGGGCTTCGGGTGTGGGGTTTTAGGTGCTTAGCATTTGAGGGTATAGCGTTTACAGCAGCGCTGAGTGATAGAACGACTGGAACCAAGATTTGCCAGTCAGCGGAAGTTGGCTTCGCGGCGAACAGAGTACGCGAACTGAAAATCTTCCACTTCCTCAGCAGCTCCAAACCTCCTTCACTAAGTCTTACGAGGCCTTTTCACTTCAGCAACCTCATCCTTAGTCAGTAGGTGGTACACCCTGAGCCTTAAAGCCATGAGCCTGCAACCTAACCACCCAATACCCACAATCCAAATGCCCTGACACCCTAAGGCTCACTAAGACCCAAGGCGACACCCTTAAGGAAGTCGTATCCTTAAATCCCAATTACCTAATTACAGAAAAGCTCACAGAACCCCTATATAGAACACATGAAGCCCTTCCGAAACCCGAAAACCTACACAATATGAGTTATCCACCCAAAGTCTGGGTCCCGCAAAGACCGCAAAGCGTTGACCACAGAAGATTTGCCAGCACCGGAGGCTCCAGTGACCTGACGGAAGTCGATTCTGGGCTGCTTTCTGGGTGGATACCTTTAGGGTTTAGGGTTTAGGGTTTAGGGCATTAAAGAGTTCATGTTAAGTCCCTTGCAAAGACCACGTTGCCTAGCATTATGGCCCAGAAAAGCGAAGCTCCATATCTTTAAGAGTGAACTATGCATCCGCCATGTGTGTATGTATATGTATACAGATATATGTATATAAGCGTTTCTACATATGCATGTATATATATATATATATATATATTACATGAAAGGTATGCTTATATGCATAAGTATGTGTATGTACACATGCAAGCACATGCACACGGCACATCATGCATGCATATATGCCTAAACATGAGTGTTTGTATGTACGCACGCACGCACATATGTATATTTGCGTGCACTGCACGTGTGTGTGTGTGTGTGTGTGTGTGTGCGTGTGTGTCTGTGGGTCTGTACATATGCGGGCATGTATACACGCATATGCCTAATAATTGTTTTCTATTATATGTAAAGATGTACATAAATGTATACATGTGTATATGTATATACGTATTTTATAACATATGCATATACCTACATATGTGTGTATGTTTGTATGTAGGTATGTATGTATGTATGTAGATGGGTAGGTAACGGTTGCTCGGTAGGTAGGTAGGCATGTAGGTATGTATGTGTATATGTTTGTATAGATGTACAGATGTGTATATACAGAAGTACAAAAATACGATAATATACATACATATATGCTGTCATCCATGCATGCATGCAGACATACACATGCATACACGGGATCGCTTGCCCGACACGAAGTCCACTCTTCTGGCAGCTATCGTTCACTAACTGTCTGGACGCAATTGCATGTGGACATTGCCTTCATCGCCAATGCTACTCCTACTCACCGCGGAGTTCTGAAATGGAGATGCAGTACACGCAACATTAATTGTGTCGCGCAACTTCCAGCAATTTGCTGCTTAAGCCTTGCCGAGTATCATTCGGAACGCAAAGTTTAACCTTTGGGGTGATAGGGGAGGGTGGCTGCAATACTCCAAAAAAGTTAAAGGTTACCTACTCTCAAGAAGCGGATATTTATGTACAGCCCTGATTACCCACCCCCCCTTCACTCCAACGGCCACTATCTCAGCATCCCCATGAAAATCCTCACCTTTAAGGATTATTTTAAGGGTGCCCTTTGGGGGTGCCTTTAAGGGTACTATAGGGTTCATAAGTACTAACTCTTGTTAATCAGGAGTTTAGAGGATGACCTGCCAAGGACTGCCAGTCCATCTTTTGCGGAGAGCTACAGGTTAGCCTCTTAGAGCATACAGCACCATCACTGTTTTATACTACGTACGCCGACCCCAAAATCCTACACTCTTGCCGGGGCCTTGATACTTAGAACAGGGTGTTGGAGGCTCTTTTAATATAACATGGAACGCTCAGGAATAATATTACGAATTGCTCCGACCCTATATTCACTTCGAGTTGCTCCAATCATGACCTGGCCACGTTTGCTAGCGGCCTCCTTAGTTGAGCTGGAGTTTACCTCCACATCTCTACTGGGTCAGCGGGTTGCCCACTTCACCCGCGACGGGAACAAAAGAAACTAAGTAAAATAGTACATGCAGCTCCAAGCACCACAATCCAGTTTTCGCCATCCATCTCGCTGCTCTAGACAAACATCATGTCACGACCAGGATAACTTGCTGTTCATACCGACCCAAGTCAACACGGGCACTGACTTCTAATCCCTCCTAATTCCCTAGCAAGGAGGAGCCCGCATTGCACGGGCACTGGCTGGGTTTAGGGCTTAGAGTTTAGGGTTTGGGGTTTCGGATTTAAGACAAGGGGCTGGAGATGCGTGGTTTCGAGTTTTGTGGTTTGGGGTTGAACCAGATCCTAATTACTCCGGTCCTCAGCCAAGCTTCCAAAAACTTGGGGACAGGCACGGGTGGACTGTCCTCGCACGAAGACTAAGAAAGAAGCTTCGGGCTCTGAAGAAGGGTGGAAACCCCACAGTCGCGAGCACTCGGTTCACTGCTTGGGCTTAGGATTTGAGTTTTGGATTTCGGATTTGAGTTTTGGGTTTTAGATGATTTGGGTTGTGGATTTGAGATATGGGTTCTAGACCTCGCCACCTTCAGCTGGAATGCGTTGAAAACTTCGGGCTTGGGTCTTGGCATGCGAGGCGTCGATGAAACTTGTGGCGTTGGGCTTCGAGTTAGTATAGTAGTATAGGGTCCTGAGAAACTAGAAGATGGCTTCGGTGCACCTTGTTGACTAGACCTGAGAGTAACCTAGCAAAAAAAAGGTGCCCTTTTCGGTGTCAAGGGGCTTATAAGGGAACCTGAACCCTAAAAAAAAGGGGTCCTGTTGATTATAATCAAGGACCCTAAGGAATAATGTCGGTAACGGTTTAGACCCCTATGTTGTATTCAGTCGAATATGTCCGTTGCGCTCGCAACCAAATGCCTTAACCGCTAGCCCGATCCTCCTGCGACTCGGCCAGGCTTTCAAACAGCTCCGCGGCACCTTGCATGAGACGGCCTCGATTAACAAATAGGATTCGAAGTGTAGGCGCTAGGGGAGCAGCTTCAGCTGATAGGGGCAGAAGAAGACTCTGCTAAACGATGAGCGACGACTGACCAAAGGCGTGTAATCTCGATTATGATTGCGAAGCATCTGAGTTCAATCAGCATTGACCCGACACTGTGAAACAGCGTAGCCGTAGAGGGCCACATCCCGAGATCATCCCAAACCCCATGTTATGTCGGCGGTTAAGAGACAAGCAAGGCCGAGGCGGCGAACAGTGTGGTTTAGGAAAGGTTTGGGGTCTAGGGCGGTGTAGGGATGCTGTAGGTATAGGGATTAGACACCGCCAGCGTCTCACAACTAGCTGGTTACTCTGCTCTTGACAGTTGCGGGGCTTCCTGGCTATGGTAAACTAGGCTAAGCTACTTAACAAGAAACCAGGATTGGCGTTACGGTGTTTCTAGTACGTAGGTCCGAAATCACAAGCTCTTCTCACTCCCAGCATCGCATCACCTTGAAACTCCTTGAACCCTGAACCCTATGTAAGTCTTGAGCCCCGAAGCCCCAATCCCAAAAACCAACATGCCAGACTTCTTGCTGTGCGAAGCCCGGTCTGAGAGAGACACCCACACAATCATGTCGAGTCGTGAGTGCAGGGTTAGAAAGATGCAAAAACCTGACAGTGTTCAGCCTCTGAACTGTATTGATTGTGCCGTATGGTCTTCCAGAAATTGTGATTGCATGGTAGTCCTGCCGAATTTCACAAGTGAAGGAGCCGTTCCGCCCGTGCCAAACGGCAGCCGATGAGAGTGCCAGTGCAGCGCCGCCCAGCATGATCTCATCTACAGCCTGACCGGCGACGCTACAGCATGCCACAGCGCAAATCATAAGAAGTATCCGTCTAAAGTTGTAGACGGCATTTGAGGAGTAGGCTCTCGAGGGAGTAAGTCATAGGCTTCAAAAAGAATGCAACACGCAAGGCTGCGATGGAGGCAAGCACACTGTCATCTGATGCGGCTCAAAACCGTCCCGAAACCGGGTTCCAGTACTGCAGGAATAATGCCGTGTGAGTATATAGATATTCCTATGAAGCACTTGGAGCCATAGCATTATTCAGCCTGAATCCCAAACCTAAGCCTGTTCCCAATCGACCTGCGCATGTCTTTGCAACATTCAAATACGAGTTGGGATCGGGTTGGGTACTTATATACAAACTTCCGCAAACCATCATGTGGACGGAGGTTGACTGAGGCGTTGGTACACTGCGCCTTGAACCCCAACCCTACCCAGAGCCTCGAAAACCCCGTAACTTAGGAATATACCTGAAATCATAATAGGATCCCTTATACAATTAAACTGACGGTATATTCCTTAATTAAGGGGTTTTGGAGGCTCTGGGTACTTTTTGCATAAATCCCAAGTCCTGGGCTGGGCAAACGGGGCTTGCAAGCTGAAACCCTGGGATTAGGGTTTCGGTGCTCACACTCGGACAATCCAGGGGTTTAGGGTTTCATGGTTTAGACAATAAAGGAATTTAGGGTTTAGGGGTTTAGGGGCTGAGTGTCCCAATCATTGCTAAGTTCAATGATTCTGCAAGCTGAAACCCTACTTGGAGGATGACATAGAAAGGTTAATAGGGTTTCAGTCTTTAGGGGGCTTAACAAGTAAGGCTATAAGTACCTTAATGAGGGATATAAGTAGTTCTAAGTCTAGTAACCTTGCTCATAATCCTTGGTACTGTGTCGCATGATCGTTTGAGAAGAAAAAACTCGACCCTATTCAAACCCTCAACCCTCATTCATAGAGCCTGCAACCTAGATGAACCCTACACTTCTACAAAAATCAGAGACAAGTCCCCTCTTTGACCCCTACTTTTTCAACCTCCAACTTCCCAACCCCAACATGGGCCTGAAAAAATACCAATACTATTTTGGAGGTTCCTTATTATGAATGTGGCATAATCGGCCCCAAAACGCTACTAAGACCCCTTTGCCAGCCGCTAGAATCCGCCCTCTACATGCCACCTTGCGGGGCATCTGTGATGTTGCTCCGCGCAGGGCCTGGTGCGGCTGCCTCGTCATCAGATGTCATGCAAGAGGCTTAGATGGATTGCTTTTCATGCTGGTTTGGACTAAAGGATCAGTGTTTAAGGGTGTGGGTTTCTGAGTCTGTGGGTTCGGGCGACCGGTCAGGTAATTCCGTGTGCTCGGTCGGCCTGGCATTGAAAACCCAACTAAAGCCATGTCTAAGTCTAAAGGCGATGTGGCGTTTAGACTATTACGCAGAGGGTCATGGGACTTAGTAACTAGGGTTATAAGTAAGGTAACTATACTTATGACCCCAATTAAGGTACTCATAATCTTACTTACTAAGTCCCATGATCCTTTAAGTAGACTAGGGTCTTGATGGTAGCTCATAAAAAAACATGCTATAACTGGGGAATAATGACTTGTCTTATTTAGTCTGAGATCAAACTCAGTCTGGCAGAGGCCGGCCGTGCGAATGTTGCTGGGCTGCCCGACCGGCGGTGTGATTCTGGGTTGCATTACGCCGAGTCTTGCTGATTCGAAGCCGGTAGCGAGGTATAGCGAAATCGCCACCCTTCAACCTCTCGAAAACTGCAATGCCCTAATCCCTAAACCCCTAAGCCCTCAATAACGGAAATACCAGCCACGACTTGTCAACCTAGCCGGCCTGATTCGGGGAATTCTACTGGCTGCGACCTTGGTCCTGCAAGGGAGCAGACATCGCTTTGGTCTCGCTTCGCATGGGAGTTCAACAATTACAGCAGAAGCGTAAAGGTTGGAAACCCGAAGGCCTCAATCCCTAAGAGCAAAGTGTAAGGAATCCCAGCACGATGTGTCCTTAATTAGGTTTCCAACTTTTTGGAGTTTACAAGACCTAGTGGAGAGCTGGGGTGGCAATGGTACTCCGTACTAGAAATGAGGCTTTGGATTTACTGTTGTGTAGTATCTCCAGGTATATGTAGGAGCCCGTACAGTGTCTGTTCAGCATGTAATAATACGTACTAGCTAACCAAATTCTTGACGTGGGCAAAAGCGATTCGTGTTAATTCTGGGCTCATAGTCGAACACGACGGCTAACACCGATTGAAGACCGTACCATTCTGTTTGTTGAAGCAGCTGCGGGGACGGAAGACCGATACTATTTACTACTAACAGTAGTCCGACATACATACATACATATGTATATACATGTATACATATACATGTATATATATATATACATATATTCACATACATACATACATACATACATACATACATACATACACATTTCATACACACCCACTTATACATGCATTCACAACTTTTTCGCTCTATTCCGACATTTTCCCTATTGATTAATATGACGGTGCAGTCAAGGGGCCCTCCAGCACTAAACCCAAACCCAATCCCTAGCCCTCCACCGCAAGCAAACACGCCCAAAACGCGTAGCGCATTTCAGGTAAAGAAGGGGCCTTAGCCTTAACAAATAGAATAAGGGTGTGAAAGTATAACTCCCAAAACCCTCCCAGAGAGCCCAATACCCCTTGATTACGGAATATGGCTTAAATCATAATATGAACCCCCTTGTAATTTAAAGTAGATTCCTTAATTAAGGGGTCTTGGGCTCTCTGGGCTTGAGACCCCTACATGATCTCGGAGGCTGTCTTTTGCCGACTGGGGGCTTCTTGGGTAACCCCAAGTTCTACCTACAGTAAAACCCTAAACCCTAAACCCTAAACCCTTAGTAACCAATGCACCTGCAAAAAAAAAGGAAAATGTAGCCTTTTGGGGGTCATGTCCCTTTTTCATAAGGCACCTGCAAAAAAAGGAAAATGTAGCCTTTTGGGGGTTTCATGTCCCCTTTTTCATAAGGGTACATGGGTTAGTCCAGGTGAACCCACTAAACAGCTTGAGGTCAGGATCTAAGTGTCAAGCGGCGTAGCCACAAAGGGTAAGACACCTGCAAACCTTAGACCATACGCCACCCTTTGCAAGACCCAGTACAACGCTGAATTTCAGAAAGTCTTTTATCGGAACCTATCTCACTAGTTCTACGAAATTCTACGAAACCTGGACCTGCACTTTCGCCACCATAAAGGCAAAAAACCCTTTAGATCCAATATTAAACCGTTTTTCAATGCTATGGGAACCTTCTTTTCAAAAAGCTTAGGCGCTGAGTACCCTGGCCCAAGGTGGGCTATCAACCCTAATAGGTTAAAGGTTACCTACTACTCAGCTACTAAGGGCACCCAAGACACCTGCAGCGAAGAAAGCAGCCGCCGCATCCTGCAGCTAGCAATCCGACGGCAACCAGCCTCGGCTTTAGGGTTTAGGGTTTAGGGTTTTCCATCTGTTCAGGGCAGGGTTCAGGGTTTCGACTCGCACACTCGCTCGAGGCATAGCTTCATGAGGTCAGGTTCGGGGGTTTAGGGTTGAGGGCTTAGGGCTCACAGCATACATGGGAGTGGCCGAATTTTAGGGTACCTTCTTTTGGGGTCTTTAAAATAAGGTTCCTACTATTTAAGGTACTATATTTGGGCCCCCTATTTTCGGAAACTCCCACATGGGTATAGGGAGTTTAGGGATCTAAGCCTGAACCTGAGATGCCACGGTCGCAGCAGCCGCTTGCATCGCCGAAGACCTCCGGCAAGCGAAGAGAATCCGATCGTTTGAGTTTACGGCAACACGATAAGATAAACTTTGCACTGTTCGGGATCAAGGCCGCTCCGAACCACAAACTCGAAAACCCCAAAGCTCAGCATTGAGCATTTTGGGGCTTAGGGTTCAGGGGGTTTGATGCTAAATCGACAAGCGCACTGGAGCGTGGGTAGAGGGTTTAGGGTTTAGGGGTTTTGTGGTTTTGGGTTTAGGCAACACAAAAATAATCTAGACCCCTGGTTATCAACCGTGTGTTGATGATTTCTCATTCCGAGAAGGGCAAGGATGACAACTTTCCTGCAGCCTTTTCTTTCCTTCGGCAACATGCCGCCACTGCGATGCAGCGCGAGATGCACTAGAGTTACAAGATACATATTAACGGCAAACTCTCAACCTTAAACCCCAAAAACCCGAAACTCAAGCCCAGCTCTTCTCGGACATTCACGACATCGTGCTCACACCCACTTGCAGGCTGCTACAGCTGGCGAGTCACCGTCATTCTCCCAACTTGCTTCCAGGTGATGGCCTTTAAGGCTCGGCCTCTTCGCGCTCTCAACTTCTCAACGGCTGTACCAGTCATCATGTGGGTGTCCCTAAACCCTAACCCCTCAACCCTAATATCGCCCATCATGAACGCCAAACATTTCAGGAAAGGTCATTGCGGATCCGCAGGCCCGAATCCGCAAGCTTTGCCAACACCCTCATGGGTGATGCATCCGAAGTCTCTTCAGCAAAGGGGCCCGACCCATGGGTTGTTGATTTGGGAGTTTCCGAAAACTAGGGGTACATTAGTTTAGGGTCCTTATAATAAGGATCCTACTATTTAGGGTACCTTGTTAGGGTCCCCTATTTTCGGAAACTCCCATTTAGGCCTGAGAACTTTGAGCCGAGGACATAGGGCTCAGCAGTAGCAATCATGGACCCATGAAATGGCCATTGCATCCGGTGACTGCCGGTTAGAACACCCAAGCCACAGTCTAAACACCATCCAAGCTCTACATCAGAAGCCTGCGTACGCCTATATCTTAGAAGCTGCCCCCACCCTGTAATAGTGACTATAAGGATTATATTAGAGCCCTATTATATTCCTATTATACCACTATTACAGGGTGGGGGGCAGCTTCTAACCTATATCCATAGCTGAAATCCATGAAGGCCCAGGTTCCTAGTGACCCGAGTCAAAGAAGGGTACCCTTTTCCCTACTCTCCGGTTTTAATAAGGGGACCCTGGCATGGGAATTTCCGAAAACAAGGGGTACCTTATTGTGGGGTCCTCATAATCTAAACCTAAGAGAAGCCTAGGAATAAAAAGGGTGCCCTTTTTGGTTTGAAGGGGTTTATAAGGGAACCCAAACCCTAAAAAAGGAATAAGGGCCTATTCTGCGTCCTAGTACTAAGGATCCCACTACTTTGGGGGCTATATTGGGGTCCCCTATTTTCGGAAACTCCCAAATGGTTACCCAGGAACCTGCAGGCTCTGCCATGGGCCCCCCGCGAGCTTTTTGTTGATGCAGCAACTCCCAAAGGGTCCTATGTACCGATATGGTAGAATGTAGGGGTTCCATATTAGGAATTACTAGAATGACTTAGGGAAGTATCCCCCATAACAGTACATAGGACCCTTTGGGACTGCTCGAAACACCGTCTTCCTGGGCCTGGCACAAACTATAGCTCCAGTACTCTATCGAAACAACAGCAACCATTGATTGGGACTGGGAGATATCGAGGCCAAACTTATTTACGGCGAGGGTCCGATAGACAGAGGAACTACCTGTTACGGTCTACGAGGCTACAGGTGACACATGACATCGGGTTGATAATACTCGTATCCCCATGACTGATCCCAAGATGTACACTCATCAACTCTCACAAGGAGCCGTACATGCATTACATACACTCACGAAACCCCAAACCCTTATCATAGAGCCCTTAGAGAGCCGTAGTTCATATGCCATGAGCAACTCCAGGCGCCCCTGCCTGTTGCAGCCATGGCACAGTGCTGCCAGGGGACGCATGAATCCTACAGAAAAGACACGCTTGTCCAGTATCCCAGGGATTTCAAGTTTAACTGTTGCATTTATGTAATTAGGGGCTATAATACCCAAAACAGGTTGAAGGTTACCTACTCTAATGCTAGGAAAAAGTCCCTGCCAGCTGGTTATTGATTCAGGGAGTTGCTCGGTGTTCAAGGCACTAGCGCACATTACACGTGCCTTCATACTTTTAAATAGAGGTGTAAGTACATTAAATCGGGGAGCCCGGTTAAACAAAGAGGAACACTGTCACCAGTTATTCAGGCCTCTGTATTATGACTGGCTTTTATCACTGGAACTGTAAATGTGCAACACTTCGTACATTCCCTGCCGAATACCTCGTTGCAATTGTGGCCCCAATGTTGGGAATGCAAGACACCACTGCTTGAGAACATCTCTTCGAGTCTTCGATGAGTAAAGCACCATTCTAGAGAGTGCCCGCGGTTTTGGATTTTTGGGGCTCCAACCCAACCCTTTTCACGTAAACCCGAAACCTAGACCCTACGACTGTTTTGACACTGCTTGCAGGCGTCTTTGCCTGTAGACTTGAGCCATCAGTCGCAGTCATATACAGCCATTAGTTTAAGCTTGCCTGGGTCAGCTACTACTTACTACGCGGCGTGCTATGTGGGAGTTTCCGAAAACAAGGGATCCTAAGATATTACCCTAAACTGTAGGATCCTCATGCCTTATTCTATACAACGACCCCGAAATATGCTACCCCTAATTTTCGGAAACTCCTATGTGGGCATCACCGACTGTAGTGTTTAGATGAGACAAGGACTGAGGATTTAACATTTGGAGCTTGGTGGCTAGGGTTCGAAGGGCCGAGTACAGACTTGGGGTTTCAATCTTTCAGCAAGCTTTGTCGCTCACCCTTCGCAACTTTGAAAAACCCAGCACTAGGATAATTGGAAAGTGTTCAGTCCACTACATGATCTGAGACGGAATTCGGCCCTTTTGCAGCGTCAGTGTGTGAATAGCTCGGGACTTTGATACAAAAAAACAGTTGCGACAGTGTCGGGTACGGCATGTTGTCCTTCCCACCAAACTCGTTCGACAAGCAGTCCACTGAACCCTAAACGTTGAATTACAGCCCCAAGCCATCCTAAACCCCATACCCTCAGCCCAAACATATACGTATGCCTTCGACACGCACCCCGGGGTGCCCGGCTCTGCAATCCAAACCAAAGATCAGCACGGAAATGTAGCATCTTGTTTAGAGTCTGAACATTTGGCAATTCACAGAAATTAGTCATCCCGCACATGTCCCTTTAAACTTATACTTAAGGACAAATATGTATCTGTATGTGTGCGTAAACACATGTATATATATATATATATATATATACACACACACTATTTGCATAAACTTTTCAACCGCCTAATTGTTCTTATTGCTAAGGTTTCTGCATTGACCACACCAAAGCACAAGGCGTGACGCACCATGATCTGCAAGACCCTTCCGGGGCCGTGTACCCAGGTGTGCACGAGAAAAGCATCGATAGCGTCAAACCTAACACGAGGCTTCTCCAAGCTAGATTCGAGGATTCGCTTGAGGGATTCAGGCTTTGAGTATCCCTTTTCCTTCAAATCCTCAAAGGCACCCTCATAGATCCCTTAAAGGAGCCCTTACATATAGATTCGCGGTAAGGCTGGACCTCAGAATCCGTACGGGATGTACTATGAAACAGAACACTGAACAAAAACGCGGGAAGACCATTCTCTAGGGTTCTTCACCATAGCTACGCGATATCATACACCAACATCCGGTTGGAATTCTTGAGTCGCCACTGTTTTGGGCTTGGGTTTCATGAATCGATTACAGGGATTCCAGGTACTCAAAGTGCCCAAACCTCCACCAAAGGCCCAGACCTTCGGTCAAATCGGACAGGCAAACTCCCAGCTGAGCTCTTGTTTTGTGAGCGAAGTCAAAGTGTAAATCCGCGGAAGCATAGCCAGCCCCCATCGACCCTAGAATTCATCACCTGTTGGGAGGTGAAGCTTCTTGTGGCTCAGAAGGGTTTCAGGCTTAGAGTAAGCGATTCGGGTGGCGATTCGGGTATTAGTGTGTGTGTGTGTGTGTAGACTCTCCACACCAGGTGCAGGTGTAGGGCCTGAAGTTCTGGAGGCCTAAATTTGTAAATTTCAAAACGCTAAAAAATCGACTCAACCTGACTCGACCCCAAAAACGCGAAATCCTTAAAGCTGACATATCCTGAAATCCTAAAAACGAAACCCCAAGCCCTACCCCTGTTTTAGGGGTATCTGGTTTATGGTTAGGATCTGTTATCTCAATAAGTAGGTACCCTAAAAACGGGGTAGAGTATGAGCCACTAGGAACCTGGACCCTGGCTAAACCCGAAGTCTTAAATAACCCTACACCCTAAACCTTGATTAACCTTTAACCCTAACTAAGCCCCAAGTCCTAAATAACTCAAATAACTCCATAAGCCCGAAAAGCCTTAAATAACCCTAACTAACCCTACCACAACCTACCAAACCCTACCTTTTTTGTAGGTTCTTACTATACACCCTATCATGGAATTTATAGTGACCCTACAAAAAAGTAGGTTTCCTCAAGTCCAAGGGAGCTGTGCGCCAGGCTCGGGCCGGAGGTAGCCTTCCACGTGGTCCACGGTGTGGATGAGCCGGCCTAGGGCTTGAGAGGGGGTTTAGGGCTTTAGGGTTTAGGGGTTGTGCTTTAAACCCTTTCAAAATTATTTATGAACAGGTTGCCTTCATAAGGAAATAAGGGAAATTAAAATTCTCCCAAAGCACAACCCAGCTTAGGGGTTTAGAGGGTTCTAGGGTTCAAGCCCTGAACTAAAATCCGAAGCCCTAAACCCAGCCAAAGGGTCCAGGGGGATTAGGAGCTTTGGGGTCTAGGGGTTTGGGGGATTAGGGTTTTAAAAGGTTTAGGGTTTATTAAGGGTTTGGGGGTGTAGGGTTGAAGGGTTTGGGGGGGTTTAGGGTTTAAGGGGTTTAGGGTTTAGCCTCCTATGGGTTCAGTTCTTTTAGGGGGTTCAGGGTTTAGGGGTTTAGGGTTCAGGCGTAAAGTTTCAGGGTTTAAACCCTAAACCCTGGACCCGGCCTAAGGGTTCAGGGTGTAGAGGTCTGGGGGTTTAGGGTTTAGGGGTTCAGGGTTTTTTTCCTCTCGCATGGCGGGGTTCAGGTTTGGGGCTTAGGGTCTACATAGGGTTTAGGGGTCTAGGGTTTAAAGGTCTAGGGGTTCAAGGGTTGCTGATTTTGGGGTCTAGGGTTTGGGGTTTAGCGTTTAGGTTGGAGACCTTCATTATTGGAATAGGCCCTTAGGCTGAGGTGTACATTATACGATGTCTCCTATGAGCAATGTGGATCAGCCGGCCTCGGATAAGAGTGCATCCAGGTTGACCTAAAGGCTCATGGGACATAGCAAGTATATAAGGTTATAAGTAGGTTATAGTTCGGCTAACCCCACTTAGGGGACTTATAACCCCAATTATATCCTACTTACTAAGTCCCACCGTCCTCCAAGTAAGTAGGGTCAACTTTGCGACTGTGCTTCAAAAATCGTTGTCCGTTGGGGTAGGCTGGAGTCTCTGTGATAACCCTACAGCAACGGGGTCCTGTGGAAAACCAAAAACCCAAAGTCTGGAATCCTTCTAGAACCAAACCTCAAAGTTACACCCGGAATTCATGTGGAGCTAGGCTTGGCCTGTTTGGGGTTGTGCTTTCGGAACGCAGCACTGGGTTTCGGGTCGATGGTATGGGGAGTACGAATTGACGGGAGGATGCCGGCCAGTCGCTCGGACCCATCGGCAGAATAAGCCCAACACAAAATTCATTGCGAGTTTGGTGTGAAGGTTGTGCGGCGGTCGGAGAACCTGAAAAACAACACCCCAGATGCTCAGAGCAGAAGACGGTGAGCGTTCATACACGCTATCAGTACAGGTACCAGCTGAGACCGTGACTGTACAGCTCGATCTGCCGCCTTCCGATCACCTGCCAACATTGCAGTGGTACAATACACAGAAACACGTGGTTGAAAGCCTAAGCAGGCAAGTGTGGGGGTGTGGGGGTGTGGGGGTGTGGGGGTGTGGGGGTGTGGGGGTGGGGGTGGGGGTGGGGGTGTGGGTGTGGGTGTGGGTGTGGGTGTGGGTGTGGGTGTGGGCCTTTAAGCCCTTTGAAAATTATTTGCTATTATGGTTCTCTACAAAAGTAGGGGGAATGAAAAAGGATCCCAAAGGACAACCCAGAGATCCTAAACCACATACCCAACACCATGGCTTCACGGCCCTCCCTAAGCCCTACTTAAGGGTTTAGGGTTTAGGGTTAGATTTTAGGGTTTAGGGCAACCCTAAACCCTTAGAGGATCATGGGACTTAAGGTAACTATACGGGCAACAGCTTATAAAACTCCAACTAAGGTACTTGTAACCTTACTTGCTAAGTCCCATGATCCTTCAAGTACTGTAAACCGTACCAGGTTCGGAGATCTGATATCGATCGAGGGCCGAAAAGTGCAGGATCTTCAGGCTCCAAACCAAAGCCCTAAACGATTAAGACGACAAGCTCCCAACCTGCACCGTTCCGTGCTCACATATCCGGGACCTGGGCTTTTGGGTTTAGACTTTGGCGGTTCAGGGGTTGGGGCTTAGGGCTTATAGGGTTTAGGGGTTGGGGCTTTTTGGTTTTGGGGTTTCGCGCGTGAAAGGCTTAAGTTTCGACTCACACACTAGCTCGCGGCTGGCAGGGCTTTTCTCCAGGGCTTGGGGCTTTGAGGGTCCAGTGTTTAGGCTTTGGGGTAAAGGGGTTTAGATTAGTGCTTGGAGTTTCCTAAACCCTAAACCCAAAGCCTAAACCCCTATATACTTAGTTTTTGAAGCTTTGGGCTGGGGTGTTTGAGGGTCCAGGGCGAGAGACTTTCAAGATGCAAGCTGCAGGAGAAGCCTAGGAGCGAAGGACTTGAGGTTTAC